GCCCTACGCGCCGGCCCCTCTTTACTCCCCAGGAAAATTATTGAATTAATTCTTCCAGATATAAGTGTGTAGCTTTCCCGCTACCATAACCTGCGCATCGGGTACCAGTTCTTTTATTTGGCAACACTGTATTAAGGTGCGGCAACACAGAGCGCTACGTACGCTATGTTCACTAAAGAACAGAAAAATGTCTCCCTTTATTGCCAGTGTGACTGCCGCTAGTTAGCTGCGTCGCAGAGTGTTCGATTCTCGGCTATATTTTTAAAACGTCGCGCTGGACGGGCATGCGCACTGGGCTCGCTTCCAAGTGTCAGCTGCGCGCCTCAGTAATTCCCCACTCTGATAACAACACGTGTTACGTATCATTCAGCGCAGTATTCGATTAGATGAAAATGACACTGGAGGAATTAATTGAAGAAGTAAGGAAGTATCCATGTTTGTGGAACAAAGGGTTAGAAGAATATCGGAACCAGAACATGCGGCATATGCCTGGGACATGATTTCTGGAGAACTGAATACACCAGGTAATGTACAAACATTGTTCTTTTATCTATAAGTGAAGAAAAATATTTTGATCAACCCCATTCATTCGGAAATATTCTTTACATTTTAACTTCATCTTCACGTAACTGCTTTATCAGATGATGAAATTCACCAGACTTTGTTCTTCTTAAGTTCACGCCATGCACCCACTTCCTTTTACGTTTACACAAGGAAAGTAACAGCAAAAGCTAATCGCCGGGATCATCGCTGCCCCCCCCCCAAGGCACACTATCGGCCAAAATCTCATTCAAGACTGAGCAGTTTCGTACCAAACATAGCTTTCTGTGGCCACGCGGTGTAGCGAACATAGCGTACACAGCGTACGTAGCGAATATAGCGTAGCGCGCTGTGTGGCCGCCCCTTTAGACCCATATCGCAGTAAGTCATTTGAATGAACTGGTAACGGTATTGAAGGAAATGGCCATGGCCTATTTAATGTACTGCTAAAATTTAACACGAAGGATTGAGGGAAAAAATAAAATTGGAATAACCGGTCTCCGGGTCTTGATTCGAAGTCGAAACCCTCAGAATGCGAAGGAGAGATGCATTGCCAGTCTCTCTCGACTGAGTTCATTTCTGTGGTTTTTAGTGTAAGGTATGCTGCCACAGCTGTATTCCTATGCGCGACAACTTACATTTCACTGACGCGTGCAAATACTGTACTAAGAACCTGGTCGTCTCCATATTAGCATTTTTAACGCCATTCATCTCTGTAATGTCTCAATATATCATACCAAATTATGAGTTTGGTTAAAATATACGTTAATACTTATCAACCAAACTGAAGTGATGCCCGTCACCGTAGCCGAGCGGTCTAAGGCATGTACTGTCTTCGCTCACTTGAAAACCGGGATCGTGGGTTCGAATCCCACTCAGGGCATGGATGTTTAGTTTGTGTGTGTGCGTTTTTCTGTGTTTGTGTACAGGTAGAGGCCTTGCGACGAGCTGATCACCCGCCCAAGGAGTCCTACCAAATGTGTAAGATCTAGAAAAACCGAAGTGAACGGAGAAGTTCATGGAGGTAGGCCTAGGCCCACTGGGGCTCTAGTGCCAAGGAAAAAAAACTGAAGTGATATGTTAATTGAAGGCAATGAAATATTTTTGTTTCTACATCTGAATTTCACATCAGCAACGTGTTATATTATGGCAATTAATAATTACAAAAGTGAAGTGGTCTATAACTGCTGACGTTGGTATCCATGCACTTTTTTGAATTTCTACTGGGACTGGTGGAAGAGGCGAGATAGTGACATCACAGTCAACTTTCCTACGGAACACTGAAAGTAAACTGAACCAAATTCCTGAACCTATCTATGGCTCTGCAGTCCTTTTGTTGGACCTTGGCTACATTCTCAGTTTCTTAATCCTGTATACAGTAAGAAGAACTCCTTGGACGGGGGATGAGCCATTCACAAGGCCGATGCCTACGCACAGAGTACTGACATCCATGCCTTGAGTGGGATTGGAACCCACGACTCCAGCATTCGAGCGAGCCCAGACAGTTCATGCTTTAGACCCCGCGGCTACTGTGATCGGCGCCTGAACTTATTGCAGCACGAAAACCAAGCGGACTAATCAGGGTCCTTGGGAGAAGTGACTTAGTCAAAACAAAAACAAACTCCGTGGCCTGTAGTCCGCAAGTCAATTATACCGACCGAGCGACCGCCTCTTGTCGGCGAAGTTAGCTCTGAGGTCTAGTGGTAAGAATTCCTGCTTAAAGATCAATAGGTCCCGGTTTCAATTCCAGGCGCTACCAGATTTTCTGAGAAGCAATGCGTCTTGAACGGTGTCCACTCAGCCTCGTGATGATAATTGAGGAGCTATTTCAGCTGCTCCGGTCTGGAAAACAGACTAATGGTCGTGGGGATCCGTTGCGCTGACCACGCGGCACTCTCTACCCACTAAAGTTGGCAGTCAGAAGGTATCAGCAATGCATAAACTGGAGCAAAGTTCCGTTATGCTTACGCACTTCCTTCAGGAAGTCGGAACTTCTCCAGCTCGGCTGCCGGCTGAGTGACGGTAATGCGGCCGCGGGAATCATGACGCACCGCAAGAGCTAATCTGGGCCACTGCCTACTTTGCGGAGACCAGAGTAGGCCACGGACAGTGTCGGTAACCTAACGCGGGTCGTAGCAACATTATGGCGCACACTGATGCAGTGGAAAGGAATGGTAAGGCAGCGGTAATGATCAGTTTCAGGACATTTTTCTCGTTCTTGCCTGTGGAAGGATGAGAGTCTGTTTACGAATGTGATGAATTTAGAAAAATCTTGGAAGGAAGCGTTAATGATCTCTCAAAAAGTATTTGGAGCCTGGCTTTGGTTAGTTGAGCTGTTAATTTCACATGACGAACTGAAATAAAAATGTTCATGGCCAGTTTCAGCTTAGGCCTGCTGTTCCACATTTCAACTGGACAGATGGGAACCACAGAAATCTAGTGAGATTAACCGGTACACCTTCCGAGATTCGAACCGGGTACAGACCAAATACAAGTCAGACGCGTAGATACAGAAGCAACTCGCTAGGTAATTACATGCCTGATCGTCAGTTCCTTCATTATCTCGGAGATCGGCTGATGCTTGAAATGTTCAATCTTAATCTCTTCAGCAGAATTCCGAAGCACTAACCTGAAAGTGGAATTTCCGGTAGGTTCAGCAGGTAACGCGTGTTAGTTTGTTCACGATTCAGGAACACATTGCAGAGGAAGTTTACGTAGTAAACCTTCACCCCAAGAAAAGTGCGGATCGACTTACCTTCTGAATGAATGAATCAATGTATAAGGGGTGGGCCTTCTCAGCCCTTGCACCGCGACCACAGTGATCTATTGTGCCTCCCCATCCCCTCAGCAACTCTGCGCTTCGAATGAAGCGTGGGATTTTGTACGTGGGGACGTCATTCATTCATTCATTCATTCATAAATTCTGACACGGTTAGTATATTATTTTCATAACAATCCATGAAGAAAATAATAACAATGGTGACGAAGATAATGGTAGTAAAGTAAAAGATAAAAAGATAAAGCTATGCCTGTAACAGGCCATGAAGGCCCATAGGGTTGTAAGACGTCGAGGCTCCCACATTTTCTCTAGACCTAGACAATCGGCTCACAAATGGCGGTAAGGTTTGTCAGCCTTACACGTCGGCCGCCCTTTATCCCCAGGAAGATTCCTGGTACTCATTTCTGTTAGAGGCTGAGTCGACACCAGGGATTAGGTCAATTGAAAAAATCCACCACATCGGGACTCGATTCCGCGACCTTCCGGCTTGTAGCATAGTGCCTCAATCAACTATGCTACCGCGTGTGCTGGTAGTAATAATAACTCAATTAAATTCCTATTTATTTGCGTGCGAACTGAACAGATCGAAGTCCAATTACAAAGTTAGAAATTGCAAAGAAAAACAAACAGCACCCATAAATAAAATACAAGAACAAAGCAATGTATATAATTTGAATAATAATAATAAGTCCTGGGAAGAACTAATCGCCTGCTCCCTTTGATATGAACACGCATCACGTGGGAAAAGACTTGTTCAACAATTCTTATATTGCTACGTGTGTATTCATTGCCGCGGCAACGTTTTTACAGAGCCGTCACCTATCAACGGTAGGGGGATACACATATAGACATAGACTGATTGGGGGGGGGGGATTTGTAAAGCGCTCCGTTACGTTGGGTTCAGGTACCATGACATTCATACCGAGTTTCATACAGGTTGATTTGGCCATTCGAAAGTTGATAGGTGGGGGCGGGGGACAAACACACAGAGAGCACGGTCATGGTACAAGCCTACTAATAATTCAGTGATGAAAGTACATATTAGTAATATATCGATAGCACAGTCAATTTGTTTATGAATGTCATTGACGTCATAACTGATATTTGGGAACACTCTGTGTCGGTATGATATCCTTGTTCCTTACCTACTTATAATTTAGAACGGGAGACCGATTATCTTAAAGAAGTTTCATAATTTTATTCGTTATTTTCAGACTACAGCTGCCATGATGGGGCATGTGGTAGCGTGGTTTGTTGAGGCACTATGCTACAAGTCGGAAGTTCGTCAGTTCGATTCTCGACGAGGTCATTTGAGTTTTAAATTTTCCTAATGCTTCCAGCCACACTATGGCCCTGGGGTCGACCTAGCCTAACATAAATGAGAACCGGGAATCATCTTGGGCGTTAAGGACGGACGGTGCGTAAGGCTGAAAACCTCGCCGCCATCTAGAAAATGTGGCAGCCTCGACGTCTCACAACCTTATGGGCCTCCTCGTCCTTACAGGGATAAGGTTACCTTTTTTTACCTGCCATGGTAGTTCAAAACTCAAGCAAATCTGTAAAAAGCCTAAGCTGTGATACCCAGCTCCCATTTCGCCCCGAAACCAACCGAATGCGAGTGAGCTGTCACTCTGGCCGAGCCAGAGCCAGGCGGCGCGATCGCAGTGACCATCGCTGTTACCTTCGGGTGTTGCTGCTTCTGTCTGCGGACGAGCAGCGCATCCAAAGAAACGCGGTGAGCAATAGCACACGGTGTAGCTCCTTGACTCCTTGAAGTAGCACTCAGGCCTCCTCCTGGGCGAGCGACTCACAGAACGCCTCACGTCTAAAAAGAAATACATTCGTTAATTGGAAGAGGCACCTGCGCTTGGCTTACAAGTAGTATCTGCAAAGTCAGTCTCGCCGTCAGGGTCGTCATGAGAGCGTTCAAACAACTGATAACTGAAACTTGTTCCGTATTCTCTACTCTAAGCCCATAGGTAAAGTTGTCCCTGTGCTTAACTATTTAAGCACTACGCCATGAAGGCATATGAGGGGGTGGATGTATAGGTTCACATTTCCTTGGCCTCGGCACTAGCTGGAGGTGAGTGGTCAGCTTCACGCCCCGGCTGCTTTACCCCCGGAGAAAGAACCTCCGGTACCCATTGGATAGGATGTTGGGTGGACCCCAGACCCGGTCTGGACGACGTGGAGAAGAGAAAATCCTTGACCCTACCGGGACTCGAACTCCGACCCCTAGGTCGTCCATCCCGTAGCTAGTCGCTATACCGACTAAGCTATCCCGGCTGCACGCTAAGCTCATACCGTTCGAAAAGCAAGCTCCTGAAGTTTGTTGTTGTTGTTTGTTGTTACTAATATCATAATTATTCTGTACCTCTTTTACTCTTAATTTCCTGCAAATGCTGCTGTCAAGCGTTTAAGTGAATTTAATTAGATTGCTGCTTGTTGGGGATGAAGTAAGTACGAAATATAAGTCATTACATGACGACGAACTTCGTAACCTGTATTATGTGGCAGAGACATTGCGGAAGTTACACTGGGCTCTCCGTGCAGGCTCCTGGGGCGATACAAGAAACGCATACTGACTTGTGGTGAGGAAACCTGTTGTGAAATGTCTAATAGGAGTAGGCACAAAAGAAGGATATGGGAAATTAATATTAAGATGGATCTGAAAGGAAGAAGTTTTGGGAATGTGAAACAAATGAAACCGGCTGTAGAATGCACGGACATTCTGGTATTAGCGGTGTTGGGACTTTGGTAAATAATGTACGGAGTCTATTTGTGATATTACTGCTATTACCGTTATTGTGCGTTCCTTGCGCAGTGTATATATAGAAAAGCGCATTTAGGGGATAAGTATCATCTGTGTTTTCTATTCAGTCCTACAGACCGAAAGAACAGAAGTGTAATTTCATGATGCAGTAGCCCTACATATGTAGGACCATAGCATTACGAGAAACATAAATACAAAGGCCTCTATTCGAAACCATGTTATCCTATCAGCATTCACTTTCTGGCAACCAAATAAATCACTAGAGCAGAAACAAAATTGGCGTTTAAACTTACGTTCTAAATTATCTGGAACAACTGAACATTTAGAATGCTGAGGTTCAAAGGATGCATTTTCAAACCCTGTATAAGTCTATTCGAGTAGGACTACACCTTACTGATATACTAATATTTGTAATTGTTTCCCTTGTTGGTATTTGTTGCTCTATAAAATAAATTAAACAATAGAGTCACAGATTATACAACGGATTTCTTTGTCTTCTGTTCCCAATGATCCCACTAGGAGCGCTGGAGGCGCAGATATCTTTTCATATTTGATTTTAAAATTTCGTAGTTTAGTGAATGAGCCTACTGGTATAAATTAGTTCCATGGAGCACATTAATAGTTGCTCAGCTGATAAAATATATTTCCGCCCTCTCTCGGGAACGCGATGTTTAATTATAGTGTTAACAAGAGTCAGAATCTCGATCCTGTCCATAGGTGGACGAATTCAGGCCACACCCTCAAATTCTCTTTCCTTAAGATTAATTTTAATATTCTCGCCGATTTATTCCCGCGCCTCTATTAAGGTTGTACAACGAAATGTTTATACCGATTTCTTATTTCTTCATGCATGCTACTTGTTCTGCCTATCTCATCCTCCTGACTATCAACCCCATAATAATATTTGACGAAAAATAAAACAGANCCCCAAATTTGATCCTCAACAGACTAGTACAGGTAATTTAAAAATAAGAATGTAATATCAGTTTGACATTCAGCCAATTTGTTGCGAGTGATATGGGCCATACAAAGACACAGAAACGTGTGTCCCTCCTAGAATGAGGCAGCCACGGGATGCATCTAGGATACAAACCCGGTAGATTTATAGCTCAGTCTGAGGCTCGATATATGATTCTCTTTCTGACCTCATTACGGGCGTAATGATGAGACTGTTGAAGGAAGGGTTGACGGGCGGGGGGGAAGAGAAAGAGGAAAGAATGTGTCATTGTCATCTTCATGGTACTACATCCCTGCTGGAGCCTCGACCTCATGCAGCAGTAGAGGTTATTGAAATCCTTTTGATACAGACATTGCTACTCCTTACATGGGGACCTTCACAGGTCGAATATCCATAACCCGCGATCTCAGTGCTTAAGGCAGCTTATAAATAGAAACAAGACTGCAAGACTGATCCCACCGCCAGCTGTACCATATTGAGACTTCTTAGTTGTGAAGCGGGTTGAGCAAACAGCAAATAGACCTTGTTTTAGCAACAAAGGAAATAACGTTCGGTCCATTTGCTCAGTGCACTACCTCTTCTAGTTCAACAAGCATTATGTTCCTTCTCGGTCCACTTATTAGGGACTTCCTGCAAGACGGGCACATATCACCGTGAACAGATGAGTGGTAAGTCATTGTTCCGATAATAACAGGAGCAACTGATGATGCCTTATCCAGGGCAGACGTGTCAGTATTGTGATATAGAATATATATTGTTTAGAGATATTGGGTTTCGGACTTTATCCATCGTCCTGGTTTTAAGATAACTAAGAAAAACACGACGTTTGGGAAACTGGGTTTGTTTCCGTCCTCAAATGAGGAAAAACACCTATTCTGTTGGGTCCGTTAGAAAGAGTTAGCCTCAATCACTGGATAAACCGATGTCACAAAACATGAAGATTATAAATACTTGAGACCAGGCTAAGTCCATGAGAGCTAATAAGAAAAATATACATTACAAATTGTTCCAAATACGTACAAGCGTGGAACGAGGATAGATAGAGCCGTAGAAATTTATGTCACGAAACAAAACTAATAACCAGGTCCATGACCCCACGGCATGGACTAGAAAGGAGAACTAGTAAAAAACTAATAGTGTCTAACTAGCGTCAACAATGGAGTAAATCACGTCTATCTAATTTGGAATCTAACAGAAATCAATAAAAACATATATCACGTCATACATATCTTCTATGTGAATTGGTGACTTCATTGCTGATAATGGGGATCCAAATGGGAGAAAAGTCCAAACTGGGTTGGCTAATGGGGTTGGCCGATCATGCCATATGAGCCACTTCCTTGTATTTCCTATACCTGATGTGGCTTTCAATATCCAAAATCGTAGCTTCGTCCCAGCCTACCCTATATCCCTCTTAATAGGCATGTTGAGCTAGTTTAGATTTTTCTAGAAGACCTTCTTTGAGGTTATGCCTATGTTCCCGGAGCCGCACGGCCAGAGGTCTGCCTGTTTCGCCAATGTAGCTTCTGCCACATTCACAGGGAATGCTATAGACGCACTGTGCCGTCTGTTGCGGATCTCTCTTGGATCTGGTTTTCATAAGAGAGTTTCTAAGAGTGTGTTTCGTACGGAAGATGGTCCTAATATTATATCGATTACCTATCCGTTTAAACTTTTCAGACACACCCTTCACATATGGAATATATACAGAACACAGAGGGTTTTCCCCTTTCTTCGGACGACTACTGCCCTTGGAATTAATGACCGAGTCAATGAAGCCTTTGGGATAACCGTTCAACTGAAGATCGTGTCTCAGGTTGTTAATTTCTTTGACCAGATCTTGTCAATATTTGTATATGGTGGAGGCTCTGTCGTGGAGACTTTTAAACCTCATTTTACATATGGCGGATGGTTAGATTTGAAGTTGAGGTATTGGCCAGTGTGGGTGGACGGAAACAGTTCCAGTTTCCGAAACGTCGTGTTTTTCTTAGTTATCTTAAAACCAGGACGATGGATAAAGTCCGAAAACCCAATATCTCTAAGTGTTATACACCATCGTCAGAATCCTATAGTAACTACTTAATATATATTGCGTTATAATTACTTGTATTTACGGCCTGTAGGTTGTTAATAAATCCAATTAGCAATCCGAACCCCGTCTTTAGTCACTGTGACACGTGGCAGTATACATTATAACATGTACGTATATCACGTGTTTCCATACCTTCAAAAAGCTTCAGTTCTCCGTTATGCTGCCCTGTTTAGATTAAAAATGGGTTGCCTAATTTCGAGTACTTCTTATGGTTGCAATTTCGAGCGTCCGAAATCAGGAACCTTGTTTCATATGGTATGGGTTGTAACCGTTTTTCCTCGGTTCTGCTAGCTCCGGTAGAGCAATCCGACTCCTCTCAGGGCGTGTTGACAGGGCACGACTTGGGTGATTAGTGGGGTTTAGGCGTAGGGAAATCACCTCAACGCCAATTAACTGTAAGGAATCTTTATTTGATTTGCACTAATTAATCAGAAACAGCCAGTATTGTTACCCTTCGCAAATTCGTGGAGGTAGGCCTACTTACTGGTCTGGGGACGCACACTTAATAGTTACCACCGGCGTGTTTACGGGGATCCGAACACGTGTACCCCCGGTGAACGTAACTTCCAAAGTCTCCTTGCCAAGCACCCTCTGACTGGTAAATATTTGCCCTAGTTACTCAAAATTCGGGCAAAGGACCTCCCACTTCAGACGATGATTGGCTGGACCGGGCAGACTGGGAGGTTGCTTATCATTCTCCTCCATTAGGAAAGTGAATCTCCACTAGTGTACAGTTTAGGGGTGGACTTTGCCACCTGCTGCGTGGCTGTCAAACTGAGATTTTGGGGTAGCAGGAAACGACGCTGCTAAATTTATGACCTCCCCTGTCAAGTTTAGAATTTCTAAAGAACTCGGCCTTGTTACGCATTAAATTAACTGATTTACGAAAGGGCAGCTGGCTTCAAGCTTGACCCAAGCCACTTGCTGCATGTCTCAAGGGGGGAAAATTCCAAATTGTGAGGCGAAAGTGAGGAATTTCACAAAACCCTAACCATACACAAA